AGTATAAGTCCCAGTGCTAACCCCTGTATGACAGCACTTGTCACCAATCTGCATACATTGAGCTATTGACCACCACTCTCTTGTCTTGATCCTGCAACCAGCATTTATCAAACATTTATCAAACAGTCCACCCGTCAAATCCATATCTTCCCAATTTGGAGACAAAGATGTTCTGTTGTTCACAGAAGTGCGCCAGCCCTCTGATCCTCTTGTGGCCTCCACTGGATACTCTCCGACAGCTCCATGTCTTTCCTGTATTCGGGGCCTCAGGCCTGGACACAGAACTGCAGATGGGGCCTTACTGGGGCAGAGCACAGGCAGTGTCATATAGGAACTCAAAGCTATGGAATTGTGAATGAAAGCAAAACATGTGTTTGAAGGGCTAAGGTAAAATTGTATGTGTGATATCTTGCATTTTGTGCAAGTTGTGCACTTGCACATGAGGGAGAAGAATTTGGCCTAGTATGTTAACTGTAAAGCTCAGCTACAATTGAAAGATCAATACACTAAGTATATATAAAGAGAGTATAAATAATTGTGAGATACCTTTCTCCACCCAATTGTTTATTTAAACCAGGAGATATCTTGTCCAACAGAAAACAAATTATAGACCTCAAGAAAAAAAAAAAAAGTGATTAAACTAATGATTCTAACACCAGGAGGAACAGGTGATCAGGTGCTTGATGTTCAATGAGTGTGCATGTGCATTTTCACATTTGCCCAGAGTTATGGTTTAACTGAGGTGTGATCATCAGTTTTTAGAAAACGGAAACAATTGTAGGTGACATGAATGAACATCCACCTGAATAGAGGCAGCAAAAGCCTGCTGTATGTTTTTGGAACCTCTGCTGTCAAAGCTTGATAGATTCTTACGTTCAGTGCATTTGTTTTTATCACAGTTATGCTTTAGTGCACTGATTGATACATATACAAAAGATATACAAAAGTTTTAAGACACAGTAAACTGCTGGCACTTCATTACGAGCAATAGCTTTACACCAATTTTCTTTATCCTTTCTGAGGCTTCTTGTTTTGGATCCTGAAAATCCAGTTTTTAATACATATGAGAACAGCAATACCAAGGATGAAGTGGCTCATGTCAAAACAGAGCTTCCTTAAGCTTCCCTTTAACAGCGTGAAAGCAAAAATGCACTGAATATTTTCACAAAAATATAGTGTAACAACCTGCTTGGAGAGCTTTCTCTGCTAATTTTACTCTCAGCTAAATGATACAATTCTCCTGACAGAAGTGTGGTCAAAGGGCTCTTGCTCTCCCAGTCTGCCACATTATCTATCGAACAGCTATTATCATTGCTTCCGAATTACCTGGACACAATTCATTCTGTTCAGAACATTAAGTCTCCCGATGCAAATTCAATCCACTGTGGTGGAAATAGCTGAGATATTCTCTCCTCAGGCTGATAAGTTCAGGCTAAAGGGCAAAAGAGGCAGCATTTCAGAGGTTTCTTATTATAAACTACAGTTGCCTTTGCTTCACAGCTCCCCTGAAAGGGTATTGCTTTCTATGAAGCTTTAAAGGACCATTTACTCAAGTGTTCCTCTGAAAGAAAGCTGTGGTTGCACGGTAAAAGGACTATACATTTTCCCAGCATGTGTTGATTTGGTGTATTGTGTTACATAAATGCAGTCTGATAGATTCTGTCCACACATAGTTACTTGCAGAAATTATGGGCATCTATGTATCTCTTGTGTCCAACATCAAAGTGATGTTTGAAATACAAGGAGGAGATAAACAATGAAGTCAGACTCTGCCTGTGCTGTGGGTAGGCAATAACATATTTCAGCATTTAACAGGAGACATAAACAGTACTGATATCCAAGGTAGGCTGGTAAGGCTACAACACAAAGTTCCTATGCAAAAGTGACTAGGTATTTGGCTGCAGTGGCAGCATTGGCACCGTCCTTTCTCACAATGGGAGGAACAGCATACAAAGCATGTAATCCAGAGGAATGTATTTGACAACAAGCAAGACGGTAAGGTTAAAATATGATAAGGAGAGACAGGAGTGGGGTAAGAAGAAAAGCTAAGTGGGAAAGTGGGCAGCACTTGTTAATGCTAAGTGAAATGTGTCCTTTCAAAGCTAACCTCTCTTTTGTGTCTTCCCATCAGCTCAAAGAATGCGGAGATCTAGAATGGGGTCTCCACTTTTCTTTGTGCTTTGAAGTACTCATTTCTGCACAAATCCTTAGAACTGAAGTAGCTACTAACACAAAAAATGAAGCTTGAATGTTGAAATCAATCCACAGGAGTGTGATTGTTTATTTCTCCATCTGATCAACAAACAAAAATCAAAGCAATCCAAGTTTTTCCATTACTATTTCTACAACCTACTGTTTTAAACAGCTTACATACTATGTTGATGGGACGCAAAATATTGCCTACATTACACAACCTAAATGCACAAGGGAATGTGTACAATCTATTGATGCAGTGTGAAAATTACTTTCACTTTATAGTTATACATATGAAATGCCCTGAAAGAAAACAAAACATTAAAAGCTAGGCAAAATTTACTCTTTCTGTTAAGAAAACATATTTTTGAGTAATAGAGCCATACAATTTTGTACAGTTTTCAAATGAGCACCTGAAAGGAGATAAAAAATGAGACTTTTCTCCAACCTTGTGTATTGCTCAAGATCTCACTTTTGTCCCTCAAGATCTCACTTTTGTCCCATCCATTTTCCATTTCACATAATCATATTTTTTCAAGACAAGAAAGCTCATGGGATTTGTTGATTTTTTACAATGAACTGAAATACTTCCTTTTTCAGTGAGCTTAAAGAATTCGAGACTTGTAAAGTCCATGCCACTATTAGTTCAAGCTGAGATGTCAGAATGCTGAAGGGGAAGCTGCACTCTTTTTTTTCCCTTGGAAATTTCACATTCAGCAGATAAGAATTAAAAAAAAAAAAAAAAAAAAAAAAAAAAAAAGGAAGAAAAAAAGAAAAAAAAGAGAAAAGATGACAAACCCACAGCTGTTGTTCTTCATTTACAATCTCACCACAGCTTTCCAAAATTCTGTGCTACTTATTTTTCTTTTCAAGCTGCTGATTGGAAGAAATGGATGTGTAGAAACTTAACAGCAAAGTTTTGTTATGATTAAGCAAGGTATTCTTTATTGGCAGTGCTGGGATAGCATCAGGTAGCTCTCCAAGTATGCTCCACCTGAATTACATATCCCTTACACTCCCAAATTCATTATCCTATCCACGCCCAATGACTGACTAACAGGTATGGCCTTATTTGGCCATCTTCAATGTCACTGTCCTTAGGGTATGTTGTTTACTTCCTCCAAATATTCCTTTTGTCCCAAAGATTACTGTGGAATGCAAAGGCAATTGGAAAAGTCTCTTCACACACAGGTAAGAAGACAAAGGAGAATGTCTTGATGCAGTCTGTCACAATTTTAGGCAAATTCTGCCTGGTATGTGTGGCTTATAAGGACTCCACTAAACAGGCGCGGTTTTGTCTGTTGTTTCTTCTGCCTTGTTAAAGCAGAACAGTCTTACAATGTATCTCTCTTTCTACAATTCTACATCCCACTTATCATCCACAACATCTAAAAGCTACTGTGGTGTTGCAAGCAAGCATTAAGAGAATACTTTGTGTAATTAATTCTTCAAATCACTGTGCTTGCTATAGCTAAGCTCTAAGGGCAGCTTGGTTCTCCCTGTATGAACATCTATACTTTACAGCTATCCCACAACTTTCCCTATACAGTACAAGAATCTTTACAGGTCACAGTTGTCTGTCCCTGCAGTAAGGCTGTGTCCCACACTGTCTAGCAGTGGTGTGCATGGTTTTGCAACATTGTTATTACTGCTGACCTATTCTCCTGTCTTTTTTATATGAGATGTGTGACACTGTTGGGTATCCATTTCTTAAGGAATGAAAATGAATTTTCCCCAGGCTGCTTTTCCTCCAACTGAACTGTGTCTCTCTCATGTAGAAATACATTATGTTTAAAGCAAATTGTACTTATGCCAAGAGATACTACTGAGGTTACTGAGTTGATTTAAACTACAGCTATGCTAAATGTCCATTCTTCTGGCAGAAATTACCAGGAAACAGAACTATGGAGACATGTGTTCAAGTTCACTGACCAGCATCTTAACACCTTCCTGCTGTCATATTCAGCTAAAATGGCATGCCGGTTATTATGAGTGTGTGACTCATCAGACTTATGCTGCCTACTTTGCTTTACAGTATCTTCTGGTAGTGGAATTGTGCTGATAGTCAGCAAGAGAAAAGGAAAGATCTTGAACCTCAGTAGGCATTTGCTGAAGTGCAAGCAAAGGTATATGAAGTCTAACTAGAAGACTTTTATCACACAGCCATACCGATGGCCAGTGAATAACTTCTGCTCATCCTTATGTTCCCATAGATTTGTGAAATCTTGTTGGCTGCAACAGAGGTAAGGCACCTTGAATCTGGACAACTTGTTTAACGCTGTAGGGTTTTTTTTGCTTGAAAGGTTCTTTATACCCTTTGAAAAACACAATGAACTTCAGCAGTAGCACCTGATAGGAGGAAACACATGCTGTGAAGAAGTCTGGGAGTAACCAAGCACCAGTGCAGGCATGAACTACCCTTTTTGTCTTTTACTGCTGGCAGTTTGTAAGTTTGTAAAGACAATTTTTATGTCTTCAACAGAGAAGATGTAGTCTTCATGTGGAAAACAAAATCCAGGTTACCATATCAAGTTCAATCTTCAGAGTACCATAAAAGCTTTTGTGCTTTGTCTCCATTTAGGTTTCACACATACTTTAGTACCAGTGCTACATCAAATGTTTCATGGCAGCTTTAGCTTGACCTGAAGAATTTTTCTAGCCACTGAAATAAAAATAATAATTAAAAAAGAAAAAAGAAAAAAAAGTGCTTTTAGATACAGAAATTAAAACATCTATGGAAAAGAAAGCTAACAACTTACATGGAGAGTATTTTTAACCTAGCCTGGCATGTTAAAACATCTTCAAATTTAGCGGTAGCCATGTAGGGCCAAGCTCATTTGATCTTCCCATGAGGAAGTGGTAACTTGATCACTGTAGATCTGACTCAGTGCTAAGCTCAGTATTTCTTTCTTTTCTTTGTAGAACCTCAGTTCATGCCCAGCTTTCCTGACTTCTTCCAGTTCCCTCAGTGCCACTTGCAGCTCTTGGGAAATAATTCCTGGAGATTCTTTCTCCTTCGTAATCCAGTCCAGGGCCATGTGACTTCTCATCTTTTCATCTAAGGAACACTGGGAGTAGTAGGAAATTACTTCCTACCATCCAGGGAAATAACAACAGACATGGAACTTAGTAACAAATCTACTTTAAATAGACAGACAAACAACAGTGAGAATCATCCAACTTTGCACAAAAATTATACAGCAATCCTCTGTAATGCTCTTTCAAAAGCTGTAGATCACTAAAAGATAGAACTAAATCTACATATGCTTATTTCTCTTGAAAAGAGCTAGCATTTTAAACAGTGAAAGTTATTCTCTTCCCTTTGGAAAACTCAAAATGTGTAATTCTTTTGTAGGTTGTAACATAATACACAACTTAATTTCACAAGTTAAAAATATTTTGAAGTTTTTCAACGTATTGCATTTTCAAGTTTTGACCCAAAATAGAAGATAAAATCTGTTAGGGTTGCAATTTATCTCAAATGAATTTTCTGCCTGTTGATAGATAAAAATGAGAAATAGTCCAAGGTTTTCTTGCAGTGATATCAAGGGACAAATACAGAAAATACACAGTATTTTAAAAATTAACTTTTCTAAATCTTGTATAAATCAAAATAAAGGACAAATACATTAACTCAGAAATTAAAAGTACTACTACTAATAGTAACTTGCGTATTTTAACCTCACACATTTAACTACTCAGTCAACTTTTTAATGGCTTGTCCTACCTGCCGGGAGCACTTTGTTTTCCGTAGGGCTTTAAGGCTTCCATTCCAATGCAGAAGCTGAAAGACAATCATCAGCTCCTGCAAAATGTGATTACACATTGAAATAATCAAAAAACACAGTACTTAACAGAAAAAAAAAAAAAAAAAAAGAGCAGATTTTATGTTTAAAGTTGATGAGACAAAGGAAAATTAATCCAAACTCCTTGTGTTAGTTATAATGAAAGTTATAATGAAAGACTTACGGGTAGCTAAAAGCTAGTGTTTCCTCTTTTGAAGCAAATAGAGTACTGTAAAATATTGATATTCTAAGTCCCTCAGTCGGAGCTTTTACTTACTTCTAGGTGACTACTACAACCTTGTTTTTAGTCATAGTGCTTGCGTATTTAGAGCTTTTTAGCTATCAGACACCAGCGTTAAAAATATGGCAAACTCTTGATCACCGTGTTGAGTATTTTATTTTCTATTTTCTGCACATTGAAGTAAGGCAGTTTAATTTACTTTCTAACTTTCATTGTGTCACGTCCCCATAATCATTGCAAAATAACATTTAATCTGGTGAAGTATCAATGATACTTAAAATTAACCTTAGATCTTGCCCCAAATCACCGTTCTGTTAGTTTTGGTAATTTCCAAACTTTGAATTGAGATAGATGACTATCACAGAAAGAATGCCATCAAATAAATTTTCACACACACACACACAAAGGAAGAGATTTGCTATCTAACTGATCACTTTTCTGATGGGATTTTTATTTCATGGCAGACATCCAGTAGCCTTAAACAAAATTGTTATCCATGTATTCGTTTTTCTTTACATGAGGTGAGGCTGTTAACCTCCAGGCATTTTGGTCTTTTTCTGAAACAAAATGGCTATTTCACAGTAAATACACAAAACAAATGCTTCACCTGAAACACAGTTTATGCAGTTTAATGGGCCAGCTGGTGCTATTAAACAAGGCTATGCACAGAAGAACTGAATGAGATCCCTGAGAGGGTTGTCATTATATCTGCTATATTGAATAGAGCTAGGTTAGATGGAATTGGATTTCTCATTGTAAAGATTTAATACTTCTAAAATTACTTGTTCCAAAACAAACATATTGCTAGCATTGCCCTATTTTGATAATATCAAGACCCTGTGGAGATTTACAGTGGGTGCTAATGGAAAGTAGGGGAATGGTAAAAGGAAAAGTAAACCTTAAGGAAGAATATATATATACATGTGTCAATCCTGACCATTGCTCATGGTAATGAGTACCTACCCTGATACTGAATCACTGCCCCAGTGTTATTGAGAGCTCCCAACACGTTACAAATTAAATTAGAGATGGAGAGAGAAAGATAAAGACTAACTTGGTAGCATACAAGGATTATTTTCATCACCAGTGATTCTCTTTCAAATGCTAACCATAAACTGGGCAGAATGAAGAGTTAATCTTAGTCTGTTTTTTCTCATGTTCATTTACTGCTTTTGATGTGACCAAAAGCATTGGCTTGTAACTGGATTTTTGGATTTAGTTTGATGATTGGTGGTCTTCTGACAAAACAGAAGATAGGACAAAAGGGTTCAGTGATAGAACTGTTAAAATTATCTACCTTACATTAGATAGAAAACGTAGAGCTTACATGGGCTGTACAAATTATTCTTCTTGTCTGGTACCTTGACAATTATTCCTACATTTCAGTCCTTTCCTTGAACCTTGGCGGCAGCCAAGAAGACTGTGGAGACCCAGACTGGCGCCCCACACACATACGAAAGGAAGGCTGCTGCCAAGAACAATGAGGGTACTCAGACAGATCCCAAACCAAGATGCTGGTGTGCAGTCCTCTGGTTGTAGTGAGTGCCAGAGCCTGGCACTACAGGCCCTTGCAGTGCTAGGTGAAGGAGGCAGAGATTATGTACGATGCGACCAGGTAAATTACTTACTCAGCTTTGTGGCCAACCTGCACGATAAGGCGGAGAGGCTGAGGAGCATTAAGGAATGTGAGAGGGAGATTGATTGCTGGTACCAAACTCTATCAGCCCCTAGATCTCAGCATCCAGATGAGGCTCTGCATGAAATAAGTAAACCCCATGCCACCTTGCAAACAGGTGATAGAGGGGAACCTACACGCAGACAGTGCTCCTGCTGCAGTGATCCCACTATCTGCTCCATCCCCCAGGAACAACGGCAAAGAATTGCGGGATGTAGGGCAATGGCATAAGGCCCCTGCTCAGTGATGCAGGTGTGCCATCCCGGTGAGTCCCCAGCCCCCCCCATTTGCCCCTGTGAAACAGTTTCAGTGCTCTTCAGGGTCAACTGGACAGTGGTGGTGATGATGGCTCTCCCCAGTTGGTGGTGCACCCCAAGTCTGACCAGTCTTTGCCTAGCATTAAAACTTCATTGACTAGGAAAAAATGACAGGTCATTGTTATTGGTGACACTCTGCTGAAGGGAACAGAAGGGCCAATATGTAGACCAAACCCTCTACACAGGGAGGTCTGCTGCCTCCCAGGAGCCTGGGTTAAAGACACGAGGAAGACACTTCCTTCCCTAGTCCAGCCCACTCATTACTATCCCTTGCTGTTGTTTCAGGTTGTTAGTGATGATTTAGGCAGAACTTCCCTAAGGACGCTGAAAAAGGATTTCAGAGCCTTGGGGAGACAGGTAAAGGGTTCAGGAGCACAAGTTGTGTTCTCCTCTATCCCTCCAGCTATAGGGAATAATGAGGGACTCGATATAATGGGCCAATGGATTAATACCTGGCTCAGAGCTTGGTGTGCCTGGCAGGGGTTTGGGTTTTTTGACCTTGGCTCTGTTTACATAAGACTGAGCCAGCTAGTGGCTGATAGGAGTAGCTTCTCCCACTGGTTGAGAGGGGTCTTTGGACAGGAGTTGGCTAGGTTCCTTCAGAGGGCTTTAAACTAGGTACGAAGGGGGGTAGGGGTGTAACTGGGGTCACTAATACAGAGCCTGAATGTAACGTTCCTGTGCTTGCAGGAGAAGGATGCGCTTGTAAGACTCCATGGTCTTGTGCCTTGGTGGAAGAGGAGGATGACTCACCCCTTTGTAGGAAGAACACAAGGGCAGGTGTGACGCTGGTGGCTGTGGAAACACCTGAGTGTGGTCATGAGGGTACCAGGGTTACTGCCACTTGCAAGGAGACCAAGCTCAGGTGTCTTTATACTAATGCATGCAGCATGGGTAATAAACAAGAGGAACTGGAGGCCGTTGTGTGTTCAGAAAGTTATGATATAGTTGCCATCACGGAAATTTGGTGGAACGACTCCCACAGCTGGAATGCAGTGATGGAGGGCTACTGGCTTTTCAAAAGAGACACGCCGGGTAGGAAAGGTGGTGGTGTAGCTCTCTATGTTAAAAAAGACTACGAATGTGTGGAAATTAATAATGTTGATGATGTTGATGTTGAGAGCATATGGATCAGAATAAAACCAAAGGCCAACAAGACTGACATTATTGTGGGAGTCTGCTACAGGCCACCCACCCAGGATGAAGAGGTGGACGAGATGCTCTATAAACAGTTGGGTGAGGTCTCTAGGTCACTCCCCCTTGTTCTGGTGGGGGACTTCAACTTCCCAGACATCTGCTGGAACAGATGACAGGGAAAGTCCTGGAGGTTCCTAAAGTGTGTGGGAGATAACTTGCTGACACAGCTGGTGAGGGAGCCGATGAGAGGAAGCAATATCCTGGACCTGCTGTTTGTTAACAGAAAAGGTCTGGCGGGGGATGTAAAGGTTGGAGACTGTCTGGGGCAAAGTGATCATGTGAGATGCTAGATTTCTGTATCCTTGTTGAACAATGGAGGGGAGTCAGCAGAACTGCCACCTTGGACTTCTGGAGGGCGGACTTCAACCTCTTTAGGACCATGTTTGAGAGGGTCCCTTGGAAGTTAGTTTTGGAGAGCGTGGGAGCCCAGGAAGTCTGGGAATATTTTAAGGAAATTGTTTTAAAGGTGCAGCACCTGACCATCCCCATGTCACGGAAGACGAGCCGATGGGCAAGGAGGCCAGGCTGGCTGAACAGAGACCTTCAGCTGAAACTCAAGAACAAAAGGAAAGTTTATGGTCTCTGGAAGAGTGGGCAAGCCTCTTATGATGATTACAGGTATGTAGTGAAGCTGTGCAGGGAGAAAATTAGAAAAGCCAAAGCGCAGTTAGAACTGAGCTTGGCCACTAAGGAAAAGGAAAACAGTAAACGCTTTTATAAACACATTAATAGCAAAAGGAAGGCTAGGGAGATTCTCCATCCCTTGTTGGATGCCGAGAGCAACCTGGTCACCAAGGACACTGAAAAGGCTGAGGTACTTAATGACTTCTTTGCCTCAGTCATTAATAGTAAGACTTGTTATTCCCTGGGAACACAGCCCCTTGCGCTGGTAGATAGGGATGGGGAACAGAATAAGCCCTTCATGATCCGTGACAAGATAGATTTGGACCTTCTGCAAAAGCTGGATGCTCACACGTCCGTGGGACCAGATGCACCCTAGAGTGCTGAGGGAGTTGACAGATGTGAATGCCAAGCCACTCTCCATCATTTTTCGGCAGTCCTGGCTAACCGGGGATGTCCCGGTGGATTGGAAACTGGCAAATGTGAAGCCCATCTTCTAAAAGGGCTGGAAAGATGATCCTGGTAGCTACAGGCCTATCAGTCTCACCTCGGTGCCCGAGAAGATTACAGAACGAATAATCTTGGGAGCCATCATGGACCAATTAAAGGTCCAACCCCAGTCAGCATGGGTTTACGAATGGTAGATCCTGTCTGACAAACCTGATTTTATTCTATGACAAGGTAATCTGCTTAGTGGATGAGGGTCAGGCTGTCGATGTGGTCTACCTGGACTTCAGTAAGGCTTTTGACACTGTCCCCCATAACATTCTCATGGAGAAGCTGGCTGCCCATGGTTTGAATGGGTGTACGCTCCACTGGGTGAAGCACTGGCTGGATGGTGGGCCCAAAGAGTCGTGGTCAATGGAGTTGGATTTAGCTGGTGGCCGGTCACGAGCGGTGTCCCCCAAGACTCAGTACTGCGGCCACTTCTGTTTAACATCTTCATTGATGAGAGGATTCAGTGCACCCTCAGTAAGTTTGCAGATGACACCAAGCTGGGAGGGAGTGCTGATCTGCCAGAGGGGAGACGGGCACTGCAGAGAGACCTGGACAGACTGGATCAATGGGTCAAGGTTAACGGCATGAGTTTCAATAGGGCCAAGTGTCGGGTCCTGCATTTTGGTCACAACAACCCCAGGCAACCCTACAGGCTTGGGGAGGTGTGGCTGGAAGGCTGCCTGATGGAAATGGACCTTGGTGTTCTGATGGACAGTTAGCTGAACATGAGCCAGCAGTGTGCCCTGGTGGCCAAGAAAGCCAATGTCATCCTGGCTTCATCAGAATGTCATCAGAAATGGTGTGGTGAGCAGGACTAGAGAAGTCATCCTGCCTCTGTACTCAGCACTGGTGAGGCCTCACCTTGAGTACTGTGTTCAGTTTTGGGCACCTCAGTACAGAAAGGACATGGAGGTACTGGAGCTGGTCCAGAGAAGGGCAACAAGGCTTGTGAAGGGCTTGGAAAATCAGCCCTATGAGGAGAGGCTGAGGGAGCTGGGGGTGTTTAGTCTGGGGAAGAGGTGGCTGAGGGGAGACCTTATTACTCTTTTCCAGTACCTGAAAGGCGCTTATAGTGAGAGCAGGGTTGGTCTCTTCTCATTGGTGACAGGTGACAAGACAAAGGGAAATGGCCTCAAGTTGCACCAAGGTAAGTTTAGGTTGCATGTTAGGAAACACTTCTTTATAGAAGGGGTGGTTAAACATTGGAATAGGCTCCTCAGGGAGGTGGTTGAGTCACCGTCCCTGGATGTGTTTAAGAGCCGTTTGGATGTGGTGCTCAGAGATATGATTTAGCAGAGAGTTGTTACAGTTAGGGTACTATGGTTAGGCTGCAGTTGGACTTGATGATCCTTGAGGTCCCTTCCAACCTGAGTAATTTTATGATTCTATGATTCTTTTATAAACTTGGCTACATTATTAGTTTTTGCTTATGCAGGAGACTGCTTGTATTACAATGAATTTTATGTACACTTGAGATGGACATAGTTAGTAGACAGAGGAAGTGGTCTTGTAAAGAAAGTAAGAGCACACAAATTAACTCTGCACAATCTCACATTTCAGACCGAGACACCAGGAGCAGTATACCTGGTGGTGTTGACCTAATGTCTTGAATACAGCTGTACTTCATTCATAGTAAGGATCATAATTTGATGGTGTGGGAAATGATGTATGATTTTTGCATAAGTAATAGAATGTTGCACCCAAGGGACATACCTCAGAACCTGTGATACAAGATAATTTTCTGTCTGTGGACAGATAAATGGAGAGTGTGGCTGGCATGTTAATTTGTGTGCGCTCCTCCCTTGGGGAGATTGTGGGGGTGAGTTAGGAATGACCAAAGATAAGGACTGTAAGACATACATCTGCACCCAGGACTCTGCAATAAGAGACAAACTTATCTGGCAAGACATATGGCAGAAGGTACTGGCCTGGTCACTATTTCATGAATTCCGCTTACTTGGAGAAACAAAGACAGATGGAATTTGTCAACTACCAAGGATTGTGCATGAAGAATGTGAACCTGGCAGCAGGGGAGGAACTCAGTGTTGAGATCTAGGAGATAGAAGAGCTTGTTTTTCTTACAGCAGGCACGCTGGCTTGCAGAATGCCGGCCACTGTAATCACGAATCAAAACTTTTTCACAAGAGATCCGGCCTCCAAAAAATTATTTGAATTATTTCTCACAATTAATGAAAATAACTTCTTTTTTTACTACATGTAAAGATTTTGTGCAAGAAAATTCATTATGTCATTATGAACAAGTACTGTTTAACCCAAGATCTGACCTAAATATTCAGTTCTTTACATCTATCTCTTTACTCATTCCCTTTTCTTTACCTCAGGAAACAAAAACAAAATAAATCAACATACAAGCCCAAAATGCAAAGTCCCCAAAGCATCTTTAAAGATGGTCGTTTCTGAAATTCCATCCCTGGATGAAGTGCATCTTGAGAGAAGAAGGCATAAGATCAGACTTCAGAATTACATAACTTTGGCCCCAGCAAGTCTCCTGAAAGTTTATCATCTTGAGTGCAGTATCTATGACATTAAGTAAATATCATAGATACTCTGACATTACCTATGACATTAAGTAAATAGGGCAGCTTTTCCCTGATGACACTTTTCTCACTCTTTGTTAGATGTGCCACTTTGAGGTGCTACTTACAGCTCAGCCAAAACATGTAGGCTTCTGGAAACATGCAGTTCAAAAAAGGCATGCTCTAGAAATATTCAGACTATTTTCCTGAATTTGTTCCCTACTTCACACATCTGAAACCTACACACAACTGCACCTTGATTGCACTCAGAAGATGAAGCAGAATGGTACTCATAACATACAGCACTTATGCCCAGTTAACTTGTGCTATTCACCAATAAAAATCAAAACCCTACAGCATATTGTAGGCAGTTGAAGTCTATACGACATCACATCAATCAATTCACACTTAGTCAAATGTAAGAAAAATAAACTCAAAAATATGTGGGTCTACTTTGGTGCCTAGATTAAATAATTGTGCATGAAGGTTTTACACATAATTTGGTAATGTAGACAGCTGTAATAAAGCATTGGAGATTTTGTTAGTAGTTCAGAATATGAGTTCTGAAGTGTTGAATCAAACTTCTTTCAACTGGAATTAATTTTTAGAAAGGTTCTGACAGAGGGCCAGAACTGGTCACCACACCTTTGAAATGACTGTCATTACAAGAATATTTGACCTTCAACATATTACGTTAGACAGTGTGTGGCAATTCATTCACTCATGTTCAGTACAGTACTTTCAGATTTTCTTTTGAATACCAGTGTAGGAAGTCAAGTGCTCACTTGTCAGGATGTACCAACCCAGTATAAGGTCAGTGATCACAGTATTTTCTCCAGTAATGTAGATTTAGTGTGACATTTTTAATTAGGATATGGAATCAAAAAGGCCATATTACCATACATGAATTTTAGGCTCAGCACTGTGCAGATAATATTTCAGGGCATGTAATCAGCTGGAAGGGACACTACTCTTTGCTAATACTGCAGACATGTTGTTGACACTTGACTTACTGTAGTGCAGTTTTGAAGTTAACCTTTGGACATTCAGATTTGATCTAAATCCAGTTTTCTCTCATGCTCTATGGTCTCAGCATGCCTCAGATGCAATGAATTCTATTTGAAATTAGTCTTTAAGTTTCTTCACTCAGAGGTGAATAATGTAGAACCCACTTCTTATACCTGAAATTCCAGCATTGTCTTTCCAATGTTTGACTCCAGCATGTAATGATAAGCTCCAATACTAGTGCTGGGGTCATCAGCATCCTTCAGGTTACCCTTTGGGAAGAAACAAGAGAATGTGATTAGAAAGGAAGTAGTTGATTTATGGTTGTATATTTTATAGTCAATAACATGTCTTAATACTGCTAACCCAAGACATTTTTAATGCCCCTCTATTTCTTTCCCCAGCAAACAATCTGGGAGCCTGTTTCTGAAAATCACAATTACCATAGAAACTACTCATTTTATCAATATTTAGTATACTATCTGATTGTGAAATGGGAGTGCTGAAGTGCTTAGTGACACACTGATTGCTGAAAGGAGGAAACACGTGGGATTAACCAGAAGCGCTTTAGTATTTGATTTGCAGTAAGCAGTTAGCACTCAAAAGGCTTCCTTAGCTAATACCCCCATGGTCTTCCTACTGACATTTCTCAAATCACTCTCCTGCTGATACATTTTTAGTCAGTTTAACTGATGTACTTCCTTGTAGGTCTTGTAGGTATGATTTTCACATTACCTTCTTAAGAGCTCCTCTGTATCTATCCACACAGCCACTAGACTGATTATTTGTGTGCAGTTTTTCTGTCTTGGTGCTTGCTACAGCTCAGATACTTTGCAAAATATCTCAACACTGTAATGCAGAGGAAATAAGACCCTTGCCTGTGCCCAGCAGAAAAGGAGAAGGATGATTTATAGAGCAGGAGAAAGTTCCAGGAAAACAATTTTACAGAGCTCATTAAATGCTTTGAGATATTTTCTAACCATACCCCCCGTTCCCTACCCCCCCCCTTCCCCCCCCCCCCCAAAAAAAAAAAAAAAAAAAAAAAAAAATTGCTATTGTAAAGAAGATGGAGAAAAATGCAATCTGGAATTATCAATTTCTTTATAAAAAGGAAAATTATATAGGCAAAGTTATTTGATCTGGAGCTCTAACAAAATCTTTCAGGTGTAAGAATGGAAAGAAATATGACCTGAGAAAGGCAAGAAGGGGAAGCAATTTTTTATTGTTCTGCCCAGACTTATTTATCTCTTCTAAGTCAAAAAGATATAATACTCTCCAGCTTCAATATAAATTGACTGTAATGGGACTATAATGACAGACTAGAGTTTTGAAGCAAGTTTTGGCTTATGAACTGGAGCAGTACCCCCTGAGCACTTCTAAAATAAACTGGCAGTGGTTAGTAGCTCAGCAGCATACAATAATTTTATGTCAAGACCTGCTTCTCTTTACCTAATCTTTGCTGTCCCAGTGCACTATCAATGGGAGAGTCTACCTCCTGATCTCTGTGTGGTGTTCATCCATCTGAAGTCATAATTGCTTGAGATGAATCAACAAAACGTTCCTTCAGTTAAATCAATTCTGTCTAGTTCCAGGTATTTAAGAAACACTTACTCCTAGTTCAACAAACCTGACAGTGCAGGTTTTGCATCTCATAAAGTGTACACATAGTAATGAGTACACTCAATAAAGCGCAGCTATGGGCATGCTAATAATACGATCCATAGTTTTATATTCACTTTTTCAGTAGAATTCAAAAGCTGCATTAATTACCCAGATACAGGAAGGGGCTGACTTTCGTCACTTTCATAGAATCACAGAATGATAGAATGGCCAGGGTTGAAAATGATCACACTGATCATCTAGTTTCAACCCCACTGCTATGTGCAGGGCCACCAACCACCAGATCAGGCTGCCCAGAGTCACATCCTGCCTGAATGCTTCCAGGGATGGGGCGTCCACAACTTCCCTGGGCAACCTGTAAGCTCCTTTTTAGGGGAAAACCTAGAAAAAGGAACGTGAGATAATTTTGGACAGATTCCTTTGCATAACCCCAGGTGTTCAATGGCAACTTCAGAAAGTTAAACAGATTTCTACCCAATATGGTTCCACTGAACTGAAAGAAAATTTATGGCTTTTGAATGTTGTAGCGTTAACACAATGCTGTTGAAATATTTATGCTGGCTTTTAAATATCCCTAAGGAAATCCAGGCAGAACTCTGTGAAGCATATAACCTTTTAGCTCAAAAATTTCCATAAAAGTGATAAATTACTGAAGTCAAAAACTCCCTTTAAATTTCATACACAAATAAACCATGTTCTATTTTTCCTCACTTTTATGGATTTTTGTCCCTCTGTAATGTATAAAATTCTCAGTACTGTAAAAGAAAACCATTCTTTCATCTATAAAACAGATACAGACTAGACCTTTTTATGCTCATCTGTTTCTACATCCCTTCCCAAATATATCCTGTAAGGGAGTATACTCAGCAGGACAGCACTACAGATTATCTAAAAAGAAATCCAGAAGAAAATAGTGATATTTCCAAAATTTAAAAAATCTCTTCCACACTTCTTATCAGAAATATCTTTTGCTAGCAGAAAAGAAATTCAATTAAACTTTCCTTAACTCACAATACATGTCTTTTAGCAAAGCAGTACTTTCATTCCTAAGGATTTAGAGCATTCTGAAATGATATTTGCTATGTAGTAGTGTTCTGAACTATAAATATTTTATCTAGGTATAAACTAAAAAAAAATAAAAAAATTTAAAAATTGCAGTGAGCTTTAAGGACTAACACAGCTTTAAAAAACTGATGCTTTAATTCCTAATTTAGTAATTTTAATAAAATCAATAATCTTTATTACTACAAAGGTGAAAAAACAGTAAGACCTTGACTTTTGTCAACTGGTGGAAAATCTACTGGCAGAGAATCATAATCTTGTATCTTCTATTCGTTAATACCATTCACGTGTGCTCTTTTTGCTCACTGATAGTTAGCAGGCATTTTATCTACAAGATCATATGATTCCCCCCTGATTTTTTTGACTTACACTTGTTGAAGAAACAGCCTCCTGAATACTTTCCATGATGAATTCCTTCGTGATTCTGCGGCAGGGCAATTCATTGAAGAGAGAGTTGATCAGAGCCACTTTTGCAGCATCTCGCCTTGCCTCTGCTCTGCTTAAGCAGCTCTGTAAAAGCACATAAGCAGTTTTACAGGTCTCACATGAAACCTTTATTTCCCACTGCATTTCTTACGTGCGTTTTTTTGCCTCTCAAAGTAAATGAGAGTTAAAATATATTATTTATACTATTAATAATTGCTTTTATCATAAAATCTGACTTCTGAGAACCAACATTTTAATTGGGAAGTAGCTTTGCCAGAAATCTTCATAAAAATTACTGGTTTAAGTAAACATTAATTTATCAAAATTCTTTAACTTTTGTAACCCTCAATTGGATTTTTTAATAGTTACTGCAAAACATTAATTTGCTGCTTAGCATACTTTCTAGCAACAGCCAAGCTGGGAGTGAATTAAGTTTACAAAATATTTTGCAGTGAAAATGCATCCTAAATCTTTTTTTTTTTTTTTTCTTCAAAATCAACCATAATTTAACATCCAGAAGTAGAGTGACACCTCTGATTTCCCAGTGATGCTATCCCATGCCTCTTTTGAACCAAATATTCTACGAATTTTGTGGAGACTCTGGACAGTGGAAAGGAGGAACTTGAAAATAAAGTTGTTTGCCCTGCTTTGCTGCATAGCTGCATGAACTTCCAGTGCTGACATCTGCTGTCCTCTCACAGCTAACAGAGGGTCTACTCTGTGCGTTTACTTTGGCCTTCAGAAGTTTCAGTTGAAGACTACTTATCTGGTCTTGTAATAGAGCATGAAAATTTCTTAGCTCTCAGCAAGCAAAAAATGCTCTCATATTTTTAATAAAATCAGGATTTTACTCACTTTGGAGGCAATGGAGATTCCTAAACATGAGCTGTATGGCATGACCTGGACAAAATGTTATGCTTCTAGTTTTGTCTAAACACAGGAAACTTACCTTATCTTGCCTCCCATGTTACATACGTCACCAGGGCTCACCCACATTCCCCACATCAAGCTCAGGATTTTAACCTTATCACAGCTTTTACAAGACACAGTCGTATGCCACAGACAGTGAAAAGTAGAGACGAAAGCACCAGCCATGCTTGAGCTTCAGCAACTACAGGGAATGGAATGTATGAATGGAGTCCATATGATCTTAGAAGATGAACTGCACCCCAAGCTTTTGAGAAGGCTTAAAAAAATGCCTTGAAAGATTTATGTCAACCTGCCTGAATGGTGAAACTCTTTTCAGATCTCAAATCTGGCTAACAGCATGGCAATCAAGATAGAGACAGAGAGCAGATGTTCTGTGCACTACCTGCTGAATCAGCTATGGCCATTCAGTGATGCTACAATGAAAAGCAATCATCCTCAAACTTTGATTTGTCCGTTCTTTTGGCTCTGCCTCTGAACCTCACAGTAATTTATAAGGAATGGTATGAGAATAATATTAGATTTTACTGTAATAATAATTATATAAAAAATACTAGTCTTTCTAAACAACTAATTGACATATGATTTCCACTCTCTTAATACAGAATGAAGTGTTACGAATACAACCAAGTCAGTGCATCACTGTGTTCCTCTCCTACATTTTGCACAGAGTGAAATGTCAGGGCAAGTCAGAACCTGCCAGGGCTTACCAAGAACAAAGCCATCTTAATAGAGACTTGCTGAATAAAATTTCACTAGACACGAAGGAAGACCAAATTTTAAAATTGCCTGAGTACATTTCAGATAGCAAGAAACATTAACATATTTAGAATTTCAACATCTAATTTTCTTCATGGCGAGTACGCTGTGCCGCACTTGAGGAATTTATCTTACATTAACTGGTACATTAGCTAGTCATTCATCTTGGTTTGCAATGTCTGATATGACAGAATGATCGCTTGTGGTCCCTTCCAACCCCTGTCATTCTGCCACTCTGTGAAATGCATACTTTCCGTGTTCGTTTACAGCAGCATCTGCAGATTCTTCCATGGTCTTTTTTATTTCCTTCTCCAGGCCTAAAGCTATTCAGTATCTGGCACAATTGGTTTAACTCTACCAGGTTGTTTCTATGCATTTTGATAACAAGTGCAAATACGCTGGGAGACTTCTAAGTAATATAGTAACTGGTTGTGATCAAGAAAACTGCTGATTTTTGACGTGCAATGAAAATGGAAGCATAGTTCTCTGAAACAAGTAATTTTCATTAAAATATGTAAATAAATTACAAAATGCTTAACTTTTAATCAGGAAGAACATTTTTCATTATAAAAACCAATTTACCCTACCTTTTAAAAAGCCATTTTAAATAATTTTTTTCTTCCAAAAAATGTGATTTTTAGTATGAAATTAAGTTTGTATTTCATTTCAGTTTTTCCTGTCATGCTCTTTCAGAAGCTGGGGTCTTTATGAAAATGTAAAATATCTAACCCTTTTACATCCCTTTCAAGCTGCTCAGGTCAAATGTTTCAACACTGTGTATTTTTCCTTCATTATGTTTAAAGATTCTTTTGCAAGTTGCATGTGATTTTGTTCTGTAAAATTCTAAGAACTTAGATTTCTATGTGCTTTCAGCAATAAATGTTATAATCTAAACCAAGCCAAACAATTTGGATTTAAACCATCTTTGTGCAGATGAAATCCAGTTAAAATGAGAGATAAAAGAAAACCATTCATTTTTAAGTAATACCAGCAAAGCAGCAGATCAAAGAGTCTTTATATATTTATAAGCAAATGGTTAGTTTTGAAAGATCAAGAGATTTACAAATCTGGAAGAAGGGAGAGATTCTTAACATTTAACTAAATATAATGGAAGCCATAAAAACTTGAACATAAATGGAAATCATATTTTAAAGTGTTGACATATGACTTTTCTCTGTGATGTTTTTTCCCTTTATTTTTTTCCTCCCAATCTTGAAAAAATGACTAAAACGGCACAATCTTGATGTAGTTTCTCAAAAGACAAAGGTATTAATTAAGGGTATAGGATCTTTGTCTCTGGTTTACAGAGAAGTCTGGTATTACATGAAGTTGAATTTGTGTTGGGAATTGCAGCAGAGGTCTCTGACGGTCATTGAGTGGGATAGAGAGGGCAATGTCTGCTGCACTGTAGTGGTGCAATATACCGTGGAATACTGGTAGCCACGTCCTCTCTTCAACATGCTGCATTTCAGCAGTTTTGATGTTTGTAGCTGGAAAAGGTAACAAAGCTGTACTCTTCGTCCCCAGAGGAAAGAGGAGGTGTTGATCCAAGGCACAGTGAAGAAGGTTCATCCTGCTCTTACAGACATGCTGGAAACAGGGAAAGTAAACCTTAGCTCTTTATCTTAGAGATGATAGCTCTTTGTTCTCAGTAGGTTAAACTGTCGGAAAAGCACAGACATTTCATTATAGCCTGTTTCTACTTGCTGAGAATGGCTTGAAAGCAGCCCTGAGGAGAAGGATTTGAGGGTGTCAGTTGATGAGATTCAACATGAGTCAGCAAAGTGTGCTTGCAGCCCAGAAGGCTGACTGTATTCTGGCTTGCATCAAGAGGAGCGTGGGTAATTCTGTCCCTCAACTCTGCTCACTGAGACCCCATTGTGCTGTGTCCAGTTCTGGTGCCCCCAACACAAGGACATGAAGGGTGCAAAGGACGGCCACAAAGATGATCAGAGGTTGGAGCACCTTCCTGCGAGGACAGTAAGAGGGCTGCGTTCTTCAGCCTGGAGAAGACTCCAGGTGGACCTTTATAGCGGCCTTTCTGTACCTGAAGGGGGCCTACAAGAAAACTGGGGAGGAGCTTTTTATAAGGGCATGTAGAGACAGGACAAGGAGAAATAGTTTTAAACTGGAAGAGGACAGATTTAGACTTGTTATTAGAAAGAAATTCCTTACTTTGAAGGTGGAACAGGTTGCCCAGAGAGGTTGTGGATGCCTCCTCCTTGGTAGCATTCAAGGCCAGGTTGCATGGAGCTCTGAGCAGCCTGGTCTAGTGGGAGGTGTCCCTGCCTATAGCAGGGGTTTGAAACTAGGTGTCTTATAGGTCCATTCCAACCCAAACCATTTTACGATTCTTTGGTTACAAATTTTTGATACCATCTAACTGCTCTGTTTTGCTCCATAATCGCTGTATAGTACACAACTATATACAACCTAGAAACATCTACTGTAAGATCAGAGAGTACTGATGTTTTTGATTTTAAACAGTTGACTTCTGGCCCTTGTGAAAATGCTTAACAAGGATTGAACTGAGTCTTTAAGCTAGTAACGTCACATGGACTGAAGAAAACAGAGGAAATATTTAACTAATTATCCACTTTTATAAATATATATTCTAGAGAAGGCTGTAACCTGGAGCTGGAGTGGGAAACTGGTGCTTTATGCAATTACCAAGCCTCTTTGTTGCCCAGCTTTATTTTGTCTTCTATCAATATACCAAGAAGCAACGTTCCCATTGTTCACCCTGCCTCATAACGAGTCAGACAGAATTTGTGCTGTGTATTGAGTGCTGAATATTGAAGGAAATAACTTGTGCTCTTTTTACTTCTAGTAAAATTAGTACCTGTAGTACTAATTTAAAACTTGTAGCAGTTTTGATAGTATTAATATTGTTGTGACCACAGTAGTCTATGGCGTAACTAAGAGAATATTCACTAGATAGTGACTTTCTATTTAATCAATTAAACTTTTATTGGAGTGGGAAAAAAAGTTTTTATTTCATATACATGTTTATGTTGTAGTACTACAGATTCAAAACATTCTAATGCACTCAAAATCTGATAATCGTTTTTTGCTCCCAGCGATATTATATTGTCTAATAAGAGATATTACCATTTCTTATAAAGCATACTTTGACTAACAGTAGCAAGGAAACGCCAGCATGTATATGAGCAAATAATAACTTGATATTTGAATTGTCAATTCAGGGATTTTTCAGTGCTTCTATCCTTGGTTAGCTACAAACACATTGTTCAAGTGAAGAGATCATCATTGTTGTAGATGATCTCACTTAGAAAGATAAAAGCCGGGATTGACTTGCAAGCACTTTTCACTGCATTTATAAAATCAAAGTATTCTACATATTTCCTTTCTGGAATTAAAAACAAAAACATCTGCTAAAGCCAGGAGCAGTTTCATGCCTGAGTTCAGCAAGAGGGGAAACAAGAAGCTGATCAGATGGGCCTTATGTTGGTCCCTTTATCATAACTGAAAATTATTGCAATTTACAGGGTCAGTCATGGCTTGTGATTCCAGAACAAAAATGGAAAAGAAGGTGTTTAAAATGCTTAAGTAAATTAATAGGTTTTTGGACTGTGAAGTGCCATGAAGTATATCACGTAACACATACCTGCGTGTCTTTAGACAGGAGAAAGGATTATTTGTGAGAAGAATTGTGCAGAGACATTTGTAGTGTTTTACTGTGCTGTGTTACTTGCTGTTATTTAGTGATGTAAATACAACTACAAAGTTCTAAGCAATGTGAAAATGGAGAGCCTTTATAACTATAAATTAAGACATTGGCAATTAATTAATATATTGTTGTAATGGTATTTACCTGAAAGCATGAACAGAACCAATCTCTTAATGTCCCAAAAGCACATAATGCAACATTCAGTTTCCAAACTGTTATTTTGTTCTGTTCAGCAGAGAGGCTAAAGTACTGTAATCCGAAAGACATGTGCATGTCATTCAAATTGGTTAAAATACTTCAATTAACAGCAGTTATGTCTGGTTCTAGATCCTAATGGATTACATCTACACATTACACACTAATGAACAAGCATTTTGTGATATTGAGGTGCTTTTGTACTGGCCCTTACAGAGAGGACAGATTGGTGGTAAGCATCAGACAGTTATTAGGGATATGTACACAGGCTGGCCATAGAGTAACAAACAGCATTGTCTTTGCAATTAGTTTTTAGTGACTTCTTCCTTGCCTTTTCTGAAAAAAAAAAAAAAAAAAAAAAAAAAAAAAAAA